ACCACGTTACTTGCAATCCAAGGTTTTACTCTATATATGTTCTCTCTGGAGAAAAATCCAAGAACACAGCAACAGTGATGGCCTCTGTGGTAGGGAACTCCAACACCAAGGCTAGGAGGTTACTGGTCCTGTATATCATTATTTTTTATAATATGTTTTTTACCAGGGATGTTAGTTACTTTTTCAAATAAATTCAGAAGTATGTCCTGTTTGACAGTTTTGCAAGTGTATGTATTTGAGGCCAAAAGGAAATCAAGGCCCTTGTTAATCTTATACTTAATAACCATTTATTTAGCAATTCTACACACGTAGCATAGCCCTGTGCAGTCTCTTGTTTGGATGATCATGAGCATTTGTGCTTATGAAGGGTACCTGTACTTTCCGATGGAAGAGGTATACATTCCTTAGATATAAAAATATGGGAGGAAGCAGTAGTGTGGATATCTAGCAGAATAAGGCCTTCATAAACACAGGAAGCCCCCTGCACATTCTACATGCCAAGAAAAGGGCCTCTGTGCCCAAGAAACTTTGGATATGCTTGCAATGTTGAAATATGTCTTCATTGTTTAAAAATAAAATAAAATAAAAACCCTCTGCCAATAGACTTTACCCATCCCTCACTGGATGATTTGCACAGTGTTTTCCTGGCTCCATCAAACAAATGTATCCTACTTTAAGAAAACCTACTATCTGAATATCTAGATTTATAAATAAAAAAAAACTTTAAAGGACTACCCACTTGCTTTAATTAGGATTCCTTAAAATTTGAAAATAATAAACATCTGAAATATGATTTAATACAAAAAATTATACAGAAATTTCAGGAACACCATCATTGAAGACACAGGTACTCAGTAATTACTTGCTGGTTGGGTGAACATACCTATTGAAAATCAGTAGAGTGAAATGGCTGAGAGCGTGGGTTGGGGTCCACATAATCCCTGTGTTTGAATTCTCTCTGCCATTCATTAGCTGAGTATGACCTTCAACAAGTAACTTAACCTCTTAAAAACCTCAGTATTTCTTAAAGAAATAAAGCCAATGATTAACACCTCCCTTGTAGTTAGTTGTATTAAATGAAAGATGTAGGTAAATATAGGTAAATAAAATATAGGTATCTTTTATCATGAATTATACTGTCATATATTATTTCCTTCACTTAATTTCTGCTTGCCTATATAGGAGCAAATGAGTGGCAAGAACAAAACATAAATGTTCTCATATTTGCAGAGATATAATATAGGTACCTGTCCATAAATATGACATTTATATAATGCACAGTGCCTGGCACATAGTAAATATTTGGTAAATGGTGGCTAGGTTGTGAAAAGTAACACAAAATATTCTGAGAGTTTGACTATGTTTATATCCACAGAGACTAATTTTGTGTATAACATTCCAGGACGTTTTATTGCACTGGCACAGGGAGGAGTAAAAGACTGTGTGACGAGGCTTCTATGGCCTTAAAGTTATGGGAAAACAATTAATAGGTATATAAGTGAACTGTGGCAGAGATGCAACTTGTAACAATTGCGAACATCTATTAAGCGTTTGATGATTAGCCATTATGCAGAGTAAATACTGTGACTTAATATCCTCTCCAAATTTATTTTATAGTATTACCTGCTTACTTTCTTCATTAAAAATATTAATTGTAAATGCTTTATTTAATTTCCCAGGCTACAAGAGAATATTAGGTGTTTGGAGTGGGAAAGACAAAATGGTACAAATTGCTTCAAACTTAGAGAATCAATGAGTATATTCCCTCAGATGACCAAATGTTTCTTTGCTTTCAATTTTCTGGATTCCTCACCCCCCTTTCCTTCTAGCACTTATAGTTTCTTTAATAAAGTTGAGAATTCTCACAAAGGGTCTTATAAACATGTGTTATTAGATTTTAAGTCTGATTTGAAAGTGCCTCTCTCCTGCTCCCTCTAAGTAAAGTGACCTTTTTAAATGGAGGGAAGTGGGTTTAGATGACAGTCATGATAAATGCGGTCATGTTCACTCAATAAAATAAGGCCCAGTGCATTTGAGGATAAATCAGTGAAATGTACAGCCCCACCTGTCTGTCTCCATCATTCATTTCCACTGTCACTTTCACAGTGGCTGATGGATCACAGTTGCTGTAAAATTAGACAGCCTTTAATCTCATTTCATCCTGATTAGCTTCTCTTTACCCTTTCCCTCTAACTCACTGACTGACACGCTAAAAACTCACACTGGGCTGCATATGAACGTGGAGAACAAACTTCTCCTCCACTACCTGCTGGGAGGGTGCGGCCAGTGTCCACTTTCAAAGAAATCTAGAAAGGGTCAGACATGGAGTCTTTGTTATTTAAAAGATAATAAGTGCAGTACCCAGTGCCATTTTAGACAGATGTTTGCCCTTGCTCACTGCCCTATTTATTTGACTTTCCTTCAGGTTTAATCAGAAGTCAAAGAAATTAGATCTTTTGCAAAACTCAAACATTGATTTAATATAGATTTTTTTTCCTAATAAATGAGGAGCCTTTTACATTCAGAATAATTACGAAGAGCTTTTGTGTGTATTTATAGCCTCTCGATTCATGGTAATAATTCAAAAAAGACAATAATTCAGGAATGAGAATACTGAAATACTCAGCCAAGAAATATAGCAGGCAAGGTTTAAAAACTAGAATAAATATGTGTAGATGAATGAGAATATCTTCAAGTAACCTTTATAGTAGAACTTCAAAGATCTCTCTTATTTTGAAGGTTTCAATAGTTAACTCAATGCAATAGTTTCATTTGTTTGCATAAAGCATAACAATAAGGGTAATCAAATGAAAAAGAGGCTTAAGAATAAATCGTGTATTATTTCCTTCACTTAATTTCTGCTTGCCTGAATGGGAGCAAATAAATGACAAGAACAAAACACAAGTGTTACATTTTCAGAGATTGTACTTTATTATAAACCTGAAACTTCCAGTTCAAAAGAAGTCAATACAATTTTTCATTATTTATACGATTTGGGCATTGAACGGACCAAAAAATTTAAAATAAATATTGGAAGGATGGCAGTCGTAAAGTAAGTTGGTTATAGTCGATGGCCTCTGTTCTTATATTCATATCTCATGTGAATAGATGCATACAGATGACAATCAATGTTGTAAATTTACACTTGACCAGATGACATTATGATGAATTGGAGTAGCACCAGGCTGCTCCCAATCTACATAATACATTGCTGGCATAGTTTTGGTTTTGGTATTTTGGAACTATCATCATAATCCAAACAATGATGAGTTAATTAGGAAAAAAAAAAGGTGTTCAAAACACATCCAATCATGAACCCAACATACACTCTGCCCCAAGGGGTGGTGAGAAGTAAAGCCTGAAGGATCTATATGGCCAAAGAGAGTGTCTGAGGGTTGAGGAGGAAAAGGACATCCCCAGGATGATACCCTAAGTCAATTGACCTAGGGTATCATCCCACAAATCCACAGCACACCCAATTTCTGCATTCTCCCCCAAATCAGGCATTTATATACCATGCCTTCTCCCTTGTGGATATAAGTTCAAAAACAATGAAGAATCCCCGAAAAATAAAAGATAAAATAATCGAAGCTCAAAAAATATTTTGATAGAAAGCTTCAACCATCTGACATGCTCTTTCAGGAGCTGCAAACAGGCTTCTTATAGGTTTCAAACCTCTCATCAGCTTCCAAGCGATGCCTGTTTCTTATTATTTTTATTTACATATCTTAGCCAGCACACGTGCACTCTGAGAACAATAAAAAAAATAATTTCAAAGGGAAATGAGAGATGCATATGTCACCCCAAATGAGCCGGGTATAAGATAGGTGCTCTCTCTCGCTTTCCCGCTCTCTCTCCCCATGGGAAAAAGAGCACGGAGTAAGAGCTGGCCCCGGCTCATATTGATTTCCCACTGCACTGGTTTCTTAAGTGCTCTGTTGATCCGTGTCAAGCAATAAGTTCCCTGCCTGAACATGCACATCACCTCCCCATTTGTCCTCACCTAGATTTAAGGTGCCCATATGATGAGCTGAACAAGGACATCATTTTTCCTACTGGTGTCCCTGGGCCCAAACCACTGCATGTGCTATAACTAATGCTGTGTACATTTACATTTACCACATGATACTATAAGCAGAGACTAACACCGGACTGCACACGGGGTGAAGGAGACGTCCTATTCTGATTGTGTGTTTCTCCCAAAAGAAAATGTAAATGAGGACAAATACAGCGGAACCTGGTTTCCATGGGTTTCTGAATACCACCCCCTCCTTGCAGCCACCACACTGGGGCAGGGAGAAGGGCGAGACGAGGGGAATGAATATTTGTGATGTTCCTGGCAGTTTTTATCTTTGTTACAGAAGAGCTCCAAAGCAGATAGATGGAAAATGTGTGATTGTGCTTCTAATGACATTGTACAGGAAATTAAGCGTATACATTTGGAGAAGGCATTAAATCAGCAGGACCTTAATTTAAAAACTTAAAACTGTATGGAAATTCAGCTTGCTCATTGCTGTGGAATAGAAAGCTACCAAGCGCCCTGACTCTGTTTATGGAAAGATTGGCAGCAAACCGTGTTTGGGCAGAGCATCGTAATGGCGCCAAGTGTATGCAGGGTTTTTTTCTTCCAAGAAGAAACCCCCCAGCCCTGACCATTTGGGAGTGTCAGTCCTTGTTTTAGAACAAGCTCCCCACCATCCGGCCAGTGAGAAGAACTTAAGAATCAAAAGCAGCGTGACAGGTTGTTCTTGACTAACTTGTGGAATAACATTATGTAAAATTAATCAAAAGGGGTTGGGTTTGCAATGGCTGTGAACACACCGCCAAACCACTGTGGATTGGTGGGTGCCCCGCTCTGCCGCCTAGGCTGTCTTCTTCCTTCTGACCTTGTCTCATATTTTTATACGCTTTGGTGAAAGCAAATAACTAGTGAGCCCAGGGGCAAGCCCTAAGATGGAAAATTTCATACCTCTTTTTTTTTTCTCTCTTCTTACTTCCAGTTATGCCATACAACAGTGCCCACCACTGCGTTGTGGAGGTAGAGAACTTCTTGTTTGTGTTGGGCGGAGAGGACCAATGGAACCCTAATGGTAACTATTGAACAACTTAATCATGGCTGCTCAACAAGCATGTGGGCGATGCAAGGCACTAGCAGCCGTCCATTCCGTAATTGCAGTGGAAAATATATTTCTGCGCAGCAGGGACAGATGAAGTAGTCAGTCAGTGAATGGGGCTGACAATTGGAGGGAGGGTCAATCACTGAACTAGCAGAGGGCTACGCAGTAGAGCGTTCATTCGTCGACTGTCTGGGGATTTAGCTTCGCAGTGACGCCCCAGCCCCTGTCCTTATCCATCCCCTGAGAAATGCCACAAGCACAAGCACAGACTCCCTAGAGGGTGGCAAGACGCAGCTACTAAGAATCCTCACCACCTTCTCCACCACTTTTCTCTCATTTTATCAGTATAATAAGGCAGTTTCAATAAATAAGCATTATCTGCAGTCGCGCTGTACATAACCTTCACTGAAGTTCTTTTGCAGCATTTATTTCTTGAGACCCGTCCTAGTTGCCTCACCTTTTGCAAGGGCTTCTTCCAAAGATCACCCAGCATCCTCCCTGTTGATGTGATGACTTCATAAATGTATCGCAAAGAGAAATTAAACACTTTAACACACATCCCGAGCCAAAACACAAGGAGAACACTGTGCCTTGCAGAATCCGCAAAATTATCAAGATATTTTTGGAAAGCTGGCACATAAAGGAGGAGCTGCGGTTGTAGCCTTCTGTGTAACAGAGATAATTATGACTGAGAAACTATAAAACAGCTTGCAGGTACACATTTTTACTTTAAAACCCCAGAACATCCAGCTGAAATTACATATACTGCATATATTTTATTGTGAATGCTCTCTTTCAGCATCTGTACCAAGGCAAATTATAGAAAATTGTTACATCTGTTCACTCTAGAAAATCTTAAAGCAAAACAACCCAGGCCACCCTCCAAGAACGTTTCTTTGAAGCAAAGGGGACATTCTTTCTCAAGACCTACAGTTTTGTTGGTTCATATCTTTCAATGTTGGAAAGGAGACAGTTCCTGGGGTTTGCGAGAAACAAATTTGGAACGGGAGCAAAAATGATATTTAATACTTCTCCTCTAACTTATCTGTGCAACAGCGGATTTGGTATGTTACAAAACAACAACAACAACAACAAACCCTGGCATACATACAATCCCCTGCAAATTCCCATTTACTGTTTACCTGTTCTTCCTGAGAATTGCTATCAACTGAACAGAACATTTGTAAGTAAATATTCAGGGCACAGTCATCAAGTTTATCTAAGCAAAGCATCTGCACACTTGAAACTTATATAATCTTATTAACCAATGTCACCCAAATAAATTTAATTTTAAAAAAGATTTAAAAAAAAAGAATCTGCGGAAGCTTCTTTTTGAAGTTCAGATTAAAACTAGCACATGACAAGAAAAGGCTGGAAAGTCCTCTTTCTGCTAAGGTGCTCTCTCAGCCCACCTCTCTTCCTGGTTGGAATAGACCCTCTGTCAAAAACCCAGTCCTGGTGCCACAACTCAGCTTTCACACACCACTATGAACCTCCCACTCCTATGAGATAAACCTTCATCAACACCCCCAAAATAACCTATAATTGTATTCTGTTCAACTCCTATCAAGCACACAACTGAAAGAATTGGGTGAGGGGATTAAGGGGAGAGTTTAATGGCCATATTCCTTCTTCTAGTCTAGAGAACTAAGATGTTTTTCTTTGAGCTAATTCAGACTCCCAAAAAGTGGTGCCATTGGACCTCACTGATTTGCCTCCTCCCACCCCTGAGAAGAACAGCAATTTGGTTTAAAGCCCTCAATGAATACGCTGTAAGAAAGGGCCATAGAAACACAGCACTGCATTTCCTGCAGGGAGACCTTGTACCATCACCACCCAACGTTCGCCATGTGAAGACCCACGTGGCACATTCTTGTCAGACCAAAGTGCTGAGGCACTTTTGAAAATTATTACTAATGCTCTTCCTGTGATTTGTTGTGTCTCTTTTCTTTTGCCTTAGTCACTAGGAGACTCAGAATTGAATTTTAGTAAAACCTTAATTACTAAATTATTTTAACTTTACTTTTAGTCTCAATGTGGGCCTGGCAGTTCACTCTCTCTTTCTATAAGACCCCTTTGAAAACTTTGGGAGTTCCACCTGCAAGGTTGAGTCACCCTGTCCTTGACTTGTTTGGCATTTGAAGGGATTTAGCATAGATCTAGGGAAATGCTGATGAACTACCGATTGGATCTCCTAAAGAGAGAACTGTTACACCGTGAGGCAAGGAGGCCAGTCTTCCGTACCTCCCTGTCATTGGCTGAGACCTTCCCCCAGGTTGGGGCTGAGGACAGGCAGTGCAGTGCCCTGTTCAGGAGGGCAATTCTCCAAATAAGGAGCAGCTGTGACCATGAGCACCCAAACTGACAGCAGGGAGGGAACGGGTGCACCAATGTGGTAAATGGATCTGGACTAGGAACAACAACACACATTCACCACAATCCCTCCAGCATTTTCCATCCAGCTTCCTATTCCATCCACTAGTCAACCATAGCTGACTTTTTAAGTATTAGCAGTGGTATTATTGAGTGCTCATTTTTGCCAGGAACTATGCTAAGCATTCACCTCATAATTCACTTTACCCTCACAACTATCTTGTGAGGCCTATTCTGTGATGGCTGTGGTTCTACTATGAGGAGACGAAGCATCAGAAGTCAAATAATGTGCTAGGACACACAGCTTGCAAGACTCAGCTGAGCTGATTCTGACATAGGTCTGTTTGACTCCAGACCTTCAGTCTTTAACCACTATGCTATACTGTCTCCTCGGAAAAACACATGTATTTGCTTAGATATTAAACAACAGTCATGTTTCTGCCACTGAGCTTGTGAAATTAAGTCAGGATTGTATCACAAGGGAAAGTGTCTTTCACTCGCCCACAAAGAAGTCTTCCTCATTCCCCATTTAGAAAACCATGAAGGGAATTAATCATCTGAAAGATATGGGATTTTTATATTATAATACCTCATTCAATCAAAAAGTAAGCAATTAATACCAAAACTTATAAAGAATAATAATCCTGTGATAATATATAGCATGCTTTAATTTGATTTCTGGCAGGGAAGAAAAATTATAAACCATGGGTTCAAATATTACGTGTATGTCAGTCCCAAAAATAAAATCTTTTTAAGTCAACCTTTAGTTCATATGAAAATGGTGCTTGAGATGCATGTCTTTTAATGAAATACAAAGTTGGAAATATAAGCATATTTCCAGATACAAAAAAAATACATATATATTTTTCTACTTAGCTATAGATATTAACTTCCTTTATGTCATTAGTGATAGGAACATTATAATCTAACATATGTGCATATATTCTGTCAATGCCCCAATTTACCGAGAACCAATTGACAATTAATTGTCACTTACTGATGGCTGACTCCCAAAATAATTGCTTATGGCAGATTCCCTTTCCTTCTCATTTCCTTCCACTCCACCACTGGCTGAAAACTGCCACCCTTTGCTCCATTTTACCTGTCATCTAAGTGATAGTCAACAATGGCATCATCACAAAAAGAGAAGTGGAGGAAGAATTAGAAAAAAAAAAACAGAAAAGATAAGAAGAAACTAAAAGAGTGAAGAGTTATCTAAAATTCCATTGCATATGGCCACCACTTTCAAGCTGCTAAACAGAGTCTTAATAGAAGCCACAAGGACGGAGTGAATAATTCCATTTTATCTCCCTTCAACACACTAATTCCTTCCTTCATTATCTCCTCTATACATCTGTTACCAACTCCAGAATTGCTTCCTTATTTTTATCTTCCCCGTCCTCCATCCTTGCCCCTTTTGGGCACCACTGACCCTTCCTCTGGAAGCTTTTTCTTTATCACACAAGTGTATCCCACCAGCCCCTGCTTAGCCTTTTCTCTGAGTGAACACCACTGCCATTACAACCAGAGGCAAACATTCTAGTTTCTACCACCAGTGCTCAACATGTGAAAGCACTCTCTGCCTTGTTGCCAAGAGGAGGTCAAATGGAAATTCTCAACCAAATTTCATTGAGAAACATTCTTATAAAATGTGGGTATGTTCTATATTCCTATCAATAGCATTAATCTTCAGATACATCTTGTAATTAACCTTGGAGCCTATCAATAATGGTATTTTTTCTACAGGGAAATGGTTGCAAATTCTACAAAGACTCCCTTATAAACCAACTCTAGACATAATTATTCCTTGAGTTGGAGCCTCCCTTTGTGGAATCCAAGTCTTTTGGGTCATTCTCATTCCTGGAACCCTTAACTCTTCCTATACATCCTCAAGTAAAATTTAATTTACCACCTAACCAGGCCATCCAAACCCTCCCACATGGTCTTTGGAACTCATGATTCCACATCAACAAAATCTTTAAATCCTTATAGCCCTTAAACTCTCTTCTGAATGGTTTCTTAACTTCTTTCCTAATCAAACCCTGTCTATAGTCTGAGGGTACTGTTTTCCCAGCCACTCTAGTCAGGGCTGGGTTTTCCAACCCCTCATTCTTCATATTATGGGAGGCAGGTAGCCTTTTTACTCCCTTTGCATTGCCACTCCCACACCCTTAAAACCCATCACTTTAAAGTATGTTTTCAGATTATATCACCCGCTGCACCTTTTTGTGGCAGCTATTTGTGGTTTTCCTAGTAATGTCACCTCCTCTGCTTGACCCTGTCACTTTCTCACTGCCCATCATCCCCTTGTGTCTTTATTTCCTTCCTAACTGAGCTTAGATTCTATTGCCCATCCCTATAATTACACAGGCTACACCTGCAGCCATCATGTAGTCCATCTCTCTTTCTATTATATTTGTCTGGTAAACCCTGATCTTAATTAAACCCAACTCTCCTCTGCCTCTGGGCAATTAAATGTGTATATGGAAAACCACACAGCAATGCTGGCTACTAATGAAGCATGCTGCCTACTAGCCAACTCCACTAAATTTCCTTGGTCAATACACTCTCCCACCCACCAAGTTAACTATTTCAAACCTTCTCTCTCTTCAAGTACCTCTTTCCTCTAAACCTCCCTCCTCACTCTCAGTGGTTGGTCTTTCTTCTTAGCTCAATGAAAATAGAAGCAATCAGAAGATAACAATCTTCTTCTTGCTACTACCAAATCTATTCACTTATATTCATGGCTACCAATATATTTTATCTTTTCTGCTATTACTGTTGCTGCTCCAATCTTAGGCCTATTCTTCATTCTCTTTTGCCTGCTCAAGGACTTTGTAGTACTTCCAAACTTAAAAACAAACAAAAACAAAACCCTTTTCTTAATGCTGCATCCTCCAGCTATAATCTTCTTCTTTTCATGGCAGAAGTCCTAAGTATTCCCTGTCTTCTTGTCTCTGATTCTTATATCTTAGTCTCCCATGAAGAATCCCCACTCAGGCTTTCATTCCCCGCCCATCTACTGAAGCAACTCTTGTCAAGGCCACCACCAACCTCCATGTTGCCAAATCTTATGGCTAGTTCTCAGGTGCCCACTCTTCTTTTTGAAACAATATTTGACATGGCTTCCAAAATACCACCCTTTTCTTCGAATCTCTGATGTTTTCCTTTGCTGGTTTTTCTTCTCCTGCCCCAGGTATCATTCCCAGGACTGATTGCCTTCCATTTCCATACCTTCTCTTCTATACTCCTAAAGGCTTTCATTCTGTTCTATGATTTTAAATATCCCTGAAATAATGACTCCAGAATCGATACCTGCTG